AAGTCTTGACCGGTCCGTGGTAATAAAAAGGTTGGGGACCACTGGTGTACAGGTTAAAAGCATCTGTTCCGTGAAAACCTCAGGGAGAAAAACACAGGTCAGGAGGAAAGTTAGGCAACATCCTAATGAACATCTCATTCATCACATCTTAAACCGTCTCCACTATTAAGTAAAGACACATTTTCCATTGTCAGGTCTCACTGTAGCCCAGGGCTTTACAACCTGCAGCCTGGGGCTGCAAGTGGCGCTTTGGAGATGATCAACCATCATCCTAAGCTGTGATGTGACCCAACGTCTAAATCCCAAAATATCGATACCAAGTCAATACCGGTATCGATCAATAGCAGTGTGGTAAAATGGATACTTCAGTTTCAGATTCCATTATGAAATTTTATTTTATGTCTGTGATGTGTTCGACCACCAAGATTTCATTTTTGATTTTCTTTCATCAGATAATTTTTTGCGTTTTGTTTATTTTGGAAAAAATGTACACATTTGCTTTGCTGTCCTGTTTCTGTTTATCTTAAGATGTTGAAGTATTTTGCAGACATGGGTCAAAATTCTTTCTAAAGTTTTAACAATATAATTCAAAGGAACCTAAGGAAACTTAACCTAAATGTTAAGTTTGACCTTTCAAACTTGAATAATGGAAAGTATTGGAGTCGGCAATACTGACCATGAAAATATTAGGTATTGGATCAAAACCAAAATATCATCACATTTAAGCCTTTTTTTCCCAAAAGGATTTTTTTTTTTTTTTGTCTAAATCAATTTTGACAATAAAAACAGTGTGATGTTTTTGTCAACATCGCTTTAGGTCATTATTTTATTAAAGTGAGTATTGTTCTCCTCTGCTAGTTGGACAAAACGAGCCTCATTCCAACCTTCACCCTCGGTAGTGAGTGAGATTTCCTTCTTTCTCTCCTGAACAAGAGCCAGAAGGTGGCCAGTTGATATCATGTAGCAGCGTTAACTACATCAACGCTGGTCCAGCTCTGTTCAAATCTGGGCAGACGATACATCTCCGCACTTATTTTCTTGCCTCTGCATTATTCATGAAGCGTGTTTTGCTGTCGTTCTAAGGTTACACCGAGCCTGAGGTGTGTTTACACAAGCAGGCTTCTGTGGAGCCGGTGGTTATGTAAATCACTCCATCATTCTGGAGGATCCCAGCCTTTCTGTTTGGACGCTGGTTTGTGCAGACACGAGTTGTGTTCTTGTTTTTGTTGTTTTCCAGAGTCCACAGTGCAGAGTACTACATGCAGGAGGCAAAGAGGTTGAAGCACAAGGCCGACGCTTTGGTAAGACGCTGCACGGCTCCACACTTTGCTGAAATCAATCAGGGAATGATCCACAATCAGGCTCAGACAGTGTTGGATGGGTTTCAAAGCACACAGCGTTTACTATACTGTAATCATATACAGGCTTCCAGTCTCTGCACAATGCAAATCTATTTAGCATCGAGGCCTGCACGCTGTAATTCGTGTTATTTATTACAGCGTTTGTCTCCAAGGGGGGGTCGTGCTCAGAGAGTGATGATGTCTGCAGGATTAAACAATATCAAAAAAATTATCCGATCTTCCCCAAACAATGAAGTCAGATTTATTGAACTTGTTATTTATGCTACGTGTACGCATCGTTTCCTCAGATTTATCGGGGGATTTGCATCTTAGTGGGAGATTATTCAAAGCGAAGGCCGCGGTGCCACCGTCATTCCGACTCTTGCCTGTTCTGTCTTCTCTGGCATTTCATCTCTGTCACCTTCCTCCTCCTTCGTGCTCCGCAGACGGACAAATTTGGGAAAGCGGTGAACTACGCGGACGGCGCCCTCTCCTTCATAGAGTGCGGGAACGCCATGGAGCGCGATCCGCTGGAGGCCAAATCGCCGTACACCATGTACTCAGAGACGGTGGAGCTCATCAGGTACGGATCAACGGCAGAAAGAAGCCAACGGGAGTCAGGAAACGTTTTTACAAAACTGCACAACATCCACAGCAACATCAATATTTCCAATACTGCAGTCAGGATTTCCTCTTTGGGTCCAGGAGCTACAGGGGTTTTATCTTTAAAGTCGTATCTTTGGCCAGTTGGATGGACTTTTACTGTCCACACTTTATTCTCCACCCCTTTTATTGGGATTCACTTCGTTTTATGGTTTAATAACTAGTTCACCGATCTTTAAAAAGCCCGACCTGCCGATTCTGATTTTGACTGATACCAAATGTTTTGTCTGAAAAGTTGCAAAATTTAATGACAATGTCGCTAAGAAGACAACAGGGGGATAATTATTGCTAACTTAGCAACGTACAATGGCTGATTTCCCAAAGTTAAGGGCCGATTTACAATAATTGGTCTGTTTACATGAAACATTTGAACATTGTAGTTTCTAAAGCAGTAAGCAGGAAATAAAATGAAGTACTGCTTGAGCATCCAGTGGTACAGTTGTAATCTGTTTTCTTTTTGTATTGCAAAATGAATACATATAATTTATAGCAACAGGTGATCCTTTCCTACCTGATGAAACGGCTCTCATAAAGTCCTGTGGACGTGTAAATTTGCACCCGTTCCACCACAAATGGCAAATTAAAGCAATGCCTTTTTAATGAGCTCTAATTTAGCATGCATGCCCACATGCAACCAGCTGGACTCTTCAGCTCCGAGTCTTTTTTGTTGTGTTCCAGCCCTTCACACACCTACAAGGTTGCTAATCTGTGTAAATTAGCCAGATCTCAGCGTTCGATCCTTTGAGCGCTGCCAGCATGCGAAGCCGCCGAGTGCAACACGGAGAGAGCAAACGGCGAATAATAAACGAGCGGCTCGGTCTGAGAGGCGCTCGTGAAGAGGGAGACGGCCATTTAGCTCGAGAGCTGGGGTTCAAGATCCGCTCATCTGCACTCATCCGTCGCGCTGAAGTGTCCTCGAGCAAGACCCGGGCTTCAGATCGGTGGCTTCACCTTTGGATGCTCGTTAAGGAGGATGATTGTGGAAATGATGAGAATTTGTCTTCAAAGATCAATAAAGAGCAAAGAAGTGACTTCTTAGACGTCCTTCTCAGATGAAAAATCATGTTTTTGCTTGATGTTTTGCTACAAATCATTCTGGAAAAACTCTTTTATTCTCAGTTTTTGTGCATCTGCACTTTCCTGAAGTGAATCGGTAAACACCAGAGGAGTGACGAGCTTCTCTGTCCTGCAGGTACGCCATGAGGTTGAAGAACTTCACCAGCCACTCGGCCACCGTCTTGGAGAAGAGGCTAGCTGTTCTGTGGTACGATCCGCCTCCTCAAGTCTGTTCTTATCACTTCTCAAACCAGCACACAGCCAGTGTGATGAACATATACCAAGAGTGCCTGTTGAAGTAAATTCAACACGTTTCAGGTTCATATTTAGATGATTTTTGTCACCATCTAGTGGTCGCAGTTCTGCCAAATTATGACTGTCGATAATTTGCATAACATGTACTTGAATTTGACTAAATTAAACAAAGTAGAATCTAAGAGCAAAAAAACTAATATTTTATTCTGCACATATTTGTGATCATATTTATGTTTTGGCTAATAAGACAAAAGTCCAGCACACACAAATTACAGAAGCTTTTATTCTGTTAATACTGCTCACTCTTGTCCATCATGTCCTCCACTGTACTTGGCAGCAGGCAGGAGCTGCTTTTACATGAATCAGCCTGTTTATTTTATTGTTTTACAAAAACACACCTGAAGCGTTAATTGCTAAGATGAACTTATCTGACCAAAGTGAACAGTTCCAGTTGGAATACTGAAGAAACATGCAGCGTTATGAGAGCCGCTTTACAGATCAAACTGTAACAAAAATATAATATAAAAACACATATGTGCTTTTACTTTTAAAAGTTACAAAAAATAACATTATGGTAACTATTGTGCTGTTATTGTACCTTTAATTTGACTCGGCAATCACCCTGGTCTTATCAGCCAAAAACGAAAAGATTTTTTTTTTTTTTAGCATTTTATTTTTGGTCTTTGATGCTCTAACTGCATATATGAGACATTTTTAACATGAATACAGCTCTAAGACAAGCTTACCTATTATCAAATAGGTTTCCTTACACAGAAGTAGTGAAACGTCACCTCTAAACAGAAACGTTTAAATATTTAGACATTTATTGATGCGTTCATGGAACCAAATGGAGGAAGGAAATCACACATCAGGAAAAGTAACAATCAAACCAGTCAGTCAGTTTTGGAGGTTTGACAATATTAGTTTATTATCACAATGAAACCTAGATTTTAATCATATAAAATATATATGTGTGTGTGTGTGTGTGTGTGTGTGTTTATTTCTTTATAATGAAGAAAATAAAATAATTCCCCAGTGCCCTGTATTTGTGATTGTAGAAGAAAAACCACCCAGCATAATCTAACGGCTGTAGTGTGTCGACTGTTTGACCCCAAGGTTTAAAATAAACTCTGTGTCACATCATATAATGCAGTAGGGAAACGTTGACAAGCTGTGAGTTTCTAATTAAAGTTCCCAGACCTTCTGAACTTCAAACTGATGAATCTGTTAAGAGCAATTATTTCACTGCAAAAACACAAAATCTTACTTAGTTGTTGTTTTTTTGTCTGTTTTCTCGTGCAAATATCTTAGTACGCTTCCAATAAGACAGAACAAACGTACAAGTAACACAGACAACATATCAGTGGAGTTAATCGCACATTTACACGTCTTTAAATGATTATCCAGGCTTAAACTAACACCAAGCAGAAAGTTTGAATGGGGGAGTCTGTACGGCCGACTCATCCGCCTCCCAACGCTTGTGTTCCCATAGCAACCGCTGTCTGTCTCTGCTGTACCTGAGGATGTTCCATCTGAAGAAAGACCACGCTGTCAAGTACTCACGCTCGCTCATGGAGTACTTCAAGGTAACAACTCAACACACACAATTGGACACAGAGTTGATTTCCTTCCCCGTCTCTCACCGTCTGCCTCCGTGACAGACTGTGCGAGGCCAACCGCGCGCCTACACACACACACACACACACGTCTCGGATCCATTTCCACGCTGCCTGTGCATTAATTTTGCATGCCGTTGTGAAATTCCGTTCCTTTTTCTTTTAATATTAACGCATTAATTAGCTCCATCCATCATCGCAGTGGATTGTTGCGGTTTAATGTGCTTGTTTTGATTAATTGCGTTTAGTTGAATTAATTACTGAGGATGTCATTAACACAGTTCTGCATTTCTCACTGATGGGATTGGATTTCTGAGAAGGGAGTGACGGGGCGCTCAGCAGCGCAGCCTGTTTGCAGACGGGGACGTGTTGACAGAGGCAGAGCGCTTCACTCTGCAGAACAACACAGCAGATCTGTAACTCGTTTAGTCGGCTAATGGTTCTCAGAGGTTCCAGGACGTCAGGAAACCAGAGCTGAAATACAGAATATGGATGGTTTCCAAACACATCCTGGTTACAGAATATCTTACATGTTGAAACTAGGAAGAACTTCTGTTTTTATGGTTGATTTTTAGGAATTTCACTGCAAGAAAACAAAATATTACCAGTTATTTTTGGTCTAATTTCAATTATAAATATCATGATGCATTTCAAATAAGACAAAACTAACTTGAAAGCAAAATTTTCAGCAAGACATGAGAGTTTATTGTACGTAAATAATTCTTTGATATTGATTAAAAAGTATTAGTTCTATTGGCAGATTGTTTTATTTATAACAAGATATTTTTCCCATGTTATAAATGAAATAATCTGCCACTGGAACTCACACTTTCTGATAAATAGTAAGGAATTATTGACTTAAAACAAACTTTTTTGCAAGCTATATAAGTTTATTATAAGTTAGTTTTGTTTTAACTGAGATATTTTCAATGGAAATTAAACCAAAACTACTTGGTAAGACTTTGTGTTTTTTGCAGTTTTGTCTTTTAAACTTGACTTTATCAGACAAAGAAAAACTTTTTTGTAAAAAAAAACACATGATTTTGTGTTTTCCATAAAGTTTTTTTTGTTTTGTAATTCCAACTTGCATACTTTGATGATCGATGGAAACGCAGCTACTGTCTCTGGGTGAACCAGCTGTTTGTCTTTGTTTTGTTTTTAAGAGTCCAACTTGAGTTTTTTCCACTACTGCTCAGCTGTAAACGACCTCTAATAATGAAATTGTCTCTTTGTATTTTTTTTATTTTTTTTGTCATCCAGAATTCGGCGAAGAGTTCCCATCAGGCCCCGTCTCCTTGGAGGAGCAACGGAAAGTGAGTAACCACACACAGCGACGGGCCTCGGCCCCACTCCGGTTCACTGCCATAATTGAGAATTTCTAATTCAGCGGTGCTCTGCTGCGGCTTCCCAAACCGGCCCGTGACAGCCACTTGCTCAAACAAACCCCTCAGGAAGCAAATAAAGGGATTGATTTGTTGTAGATGTGAGAAGGAGAGGACCGGAGGGGCCGCCGAGCGCTCGGCGAGGAGGAGTGATGGAGGCGGCGATGATGGATGGAGGAGGAGAGGCGTGGAGGAGTCACGGATGTGAAACTAATGAGTTTGGACAGTTCTGATGCTGCGCAGCAGCAGGACCGGAGCTGGCTGTGTGTGTGTGTGTGTGTGTGTGTGTGTGTGTGTGTGTGTGTTTGTGTGTGTGTGTGTGTTAGGGCGGGGGAGGTGCTGAGTTAGACACAAGTTGTGGGTCAGTGGGGGTCAAGGCCACATCACAGACATTACATCACTGCCACAGACCTGCTGCCTGCTGCGCGACACAGGAGGAGCCGACATGTTTCTGTTTTACTGAGGCTGCCACCTTCCTCTTCTTCTTCCTCTTCCTCTTCTTCTTCCTCTTCCTCTTCCTCTTCTTCTTCCTCTTTTTCTTCTTCCTCTTCTTCTTCTTCTTCTTTTGTTAGGGTGCATTCACACCTGCCCTGTTCAGTACGGTGGCCCTGAAGTACAAACCACTTCAACTAATCACTAAACACAACTACAAATTGAAAAACACATTAAGCATAACTACAAGTTAAGACACAACAACTTTAACGAAACTGAAGAGGCAGATCTCAGTGGGAAACCCAAGACTTCACTGATTGGACTACACCACTTTGGTTTTAGAGTCGAAAGTTTTTCTGGCTTTAGCACATCTGTTGAGAATTTGTTACCAATGTAAATGTAGCTAAGATACCCAAGAATAATTTGAGTCAGGACAAACTACAGAGCTCAGCTTTTCTGTGACCATCTAAACAGAGAGAGCAAATGCCAGAAGAACTGGTGGAGGTCGAAGGTCAAAAGTGGAATCATCCACTAAACGATTCTTCTGTTTTATGTTTTCTTAATTTGTAGTTATGTTTAGTTAATGTCCTTGTGGTTTTGAATATGTTGTGCTTTTCAGTTTATAGCTGTATGTAGCAATTTGTTGAAGTGGTTTAACTTGAGGGCAGCTGGAGTTCAGTTTGTGTGGAAAGTTCAGTTCATTTGTGAATGTGCCATCAAGCCCAGGCCACATTCAGGTCGAAGTGAACTCTAGTGCAGTTTGAAAGCAAATATGAACAGCAAGTGGACCGCAGAGCGCTCCAAAAGCAGGAGGCGGACCATAGCGCAGGGCATTCTGGGTAAATGCAACCAAAACAAACACATTAGTGTCTTGCTAGCAGGAGAAATAGTTTGTGGTCTTTTGCCAAAGAGAAATCCTACAACCACTAAAATCTGATGGCACTTTGTTTAGTTTACATGACATGAAGAAGGAAGTCGTCTTCAGAGGTTTTTGTCGTTTCCCTTTGTGGTTCTTGGTGCAGCGCCACCACAGGTGAGGAGGTGAACAGGTTTTTCAAAGTGTGTTCAGGCAGTACTTTCTACCAAACCTTTGTGTTTCTCATAGTAAAACACCGAGGCTCCCTGCTGGGTTCCCATCATGCCTCTGGGATTCACCACCTGTCTGTGTGTTTTCCAGGGTCAACGGGACGCCGTCGCCCCTCTCACTCAGCCCATCTCCAGCCAGCAGTGGAGGAGCGCCGGCGGCAGCAACAGGAGGGGGAGGGGCATCGGGGTCGTCCAGTAGCGTGGCGATCCCCCAGCGGATCCACCACATGGCCGCCAGCCACGTCAACATCACCAACAACATCCTGAGGAGCTACGAGCAGTGGGAGACGGCCGACAGGCTGGCCGCCGACAGCAGAGGTGAGCAACGCAACGCAGCAACGCAGCAACGCAGCAACGCAACGCAGAAACGCAACGCAGCAACACGGCAACCCAACGCTTCTGACATCCACCAATAACTAACTTAGCCAGCTGCCTTGTTTATAAGTAAAACGTTTCAGCAGCAGGAGAGGAGAGACTGGAGAAATGCAGAAAAGTTTAAATAACATGATTTTAAACAATTTATTTATTTATGTTTGAGGTAAAGACAAACGGCTTTCTGTTTACTACGTTTTTCAGGAATAGCAACATTTGTGTCAATTTTATTAGGATTCTGTTTGTTTTTGGAAATAATGTCAAAACTTATCAAAGTTCCCACTTAACTACTTTTATAATCTTGCATTTATTACCTGTATAATCCACTCATGCAGCAGCTAAAAATGTATTTAGTAGCTAACCCATTAGCATAGTGTCTATTTAATTTTAACTGCAGTTTGCAAATATAACGTGTCAGGATTTGTAGACAGTTTCTGTTGGTTGTGGCGATGTGCAGCAGTAACCTGCTCTCTCCCTGCTGCGTCCTGCAGACTTCTTCCAGGACCTGGACTCGGCCATGGGGGGGGCTCTGAGTCAGCAGAGCAGCATGGTGGAGCTGGTGCGCTACATCCGGCAGGGACTGCACTGGCTGCGCTCCGAGGCGCAGCTGCTCTAGAGACGGGAGCAGAGCAGCAGGAGCTGGAGCTGACATGAGACCCAACCCACTGCGACCCAAACCACACACACACATACGCGCGCACACACATACACACACACACAGACCGAGGATGATAACTGGGCCCGATTTCCCCCGCAGTGATCCAGGTGAAACACCTGAGGAGACGCAGAACACGTCCAAACCCTCCGTTAAGAAAACCAACAGAAAGAAGCTAAAAGTGATTTTTTTTTTTTAAAACGGATCATTTTCTGGAAGATAAGTGAGCGTCTGATGTGATTAAGGTGGCTAAATGTGGCCAGAGAGCTGAGCGGAGGAGCAGCCAGGTGTCAGTGATCGGGTCTGGATCTAAAGCCTCAGGCTGATATCGATCCGGCTGGAGGAGAAGCCGTCCAATCCATCAGATAAGGACCACAGGGTGAGGGGATAGAGGCCGACCTATGACCCCCCCACACGCCCCTGAGGCAGAATCAAAGCAGACCCGACTCGGTACCTCGACTGGAGCCGAAACCTGCCGCCGTTGAGTCCAGACGTTTCTGATTGGATTTGTGTTACAACGGTGTCAAACACAGATATTCTTAATATTTAAAGTGAAAAATCCCACTTATTCCAAAGTTCATATTTAACACTTATGGGACATGTGTCAAATTCACGGCCTGAGGGCCAAATCCGGCCCGCTGGAGTCTTTTATGTGGCCCTCTAGACCCCAGAGGGACGCGTCAACACAACCTTTAACATAAATATTCATCAATCATTCTCAAAGCAGTTTTTCTGCGTCCTGCCAAATGACATCAATCAGTCCCTCCAGGTTTTTGCGATGTCATGAAAATTCACAAAAAATTGATTCACAAAAAAGTTATTACAAATTTATTACAAATTTTACCCAAAACGTTCAAAAACGAGACAGAGACAAAGTAAGAGACAAACTCCCACCTACAGGTGGCAGTGTTTCTTACTTTTACTACACCACTGCCTCAAATGTACTTGATGTTACAAGCCATATGGTGAATAAAGAAAAAAAAATACCATCAGATATAAACTCAAATATTTCTAAATTAGCTCAGATTTTGATAGTAAAAAAAATCAAACAATCTCAGAATCCTGGATGGACTGATCAGAGTGAAAAGACATTCAGTATGGTTACATAAGAAGAACAGAGAGACAGCTTTTGATTAATATTTGAACAATTAGCAGGCATCATCAGTCCGTTCTGGCCTGGTTCTTTGAGGACATTCATGATCTTGATGCCCTCCGAAAAGAAAATGAGTTTGACCTCCCTGATTAGCCGACAAATCTTAGTTACATCAGAAAAGGAAGGAAGTAAGTGACACTGTCTCTTTAATTAAAGCTGCTGGCCTAATGCAGTAACATCTCCGTTTGCTTTACCTTTAGTTTGACTCCTACACACCAACATGCCCTGATTTCCTTTGCCTTTTTTTTTCTTTACGTATTTTAAGTGAAATAAAAGTAGGTTCCTCCGATGACATCACGTCAGGCACAGAGCAACTTATGAGTTATCAAGTTTTCTTGTTGCTATTCTTTCTTATTCTGACATTTTTAATCAAATCATGAATTTGAGCCGCGTCGATGCGTTTGAATGATTCTGCCACAAACCAGTCAAATGAAAAACATTAAAGTTAAACATTAAACGTTAAAGTTCCCATGATTCTCATCTTCTTCTTCACAGTTTGCTTCGGTTTGCATCCATAAACTGAGCAAATGGGAATTACAAAATAAATTAGCTTAATGGAAACACCACGATTGCGAAATTGAGTTTTTTCAACATTAGCAGAATATCAACAGTTTTATACACATTTGTAATGGAAAAACGTCAAAGAAGCCAAACCACTTGCACCTTACGTGCTTCATTTCACGTCCATATGTGTAGAGTCACTGCTTTGCCATAACATTAGCACTAAGACAAGCTGATTACTGTGCCTTTTGTGATGTCATCAACAAAAATAAAGTTAAATTGGCAGAGGTTTGTTCTTCAGTGGAATTTTTTAAAATGATGCATTTTGTGAAATTATGACTTAATTACATAATTGTAGTTTTGTTTGTGAATTTAAAAAAATGCATCAGATGGTATCTTTAATGTTGTTACCTGGTAACACAGAAGGAAAAACAGACAAAATGGCACCATACGGATGCTATGAAATGAAATGAGCTTTCTGGTGAAACAAGGTGTAAAATGTGACGTGCGTCACTGCTGCTGCACTTTTTTTTAGCTGTAGCTACAGGATTTACTCTCACATTATTGGTCAAGAGAGTAGCATATTTTTAATGATACAAGTGGATACTGAGACGTAAAGCCTTTTAGCCTGTTGGTCATAAAGTGCCAACAGTGTCATTTATTTCCAGGGGCCTCCAAAACAAAACTAATGCCTTCCATTTGCCTTGTTATCATGACATAAAGCTACGCCAAAATCCAATTCTTAAATTAAGACCAGAAATATTCAATATTTTACCATTTCACCTTAAATATGGCTCATGTGAGTAGTAAACAAGATAATTGTAAGTAGACAGCTAGGCTAACTTAGGAGCTAGCTAACCTTTGCTAGCTGCTAAGTTAGCTAAGTTTTAAGCAGACAACTTGGCTAACTTAGCAGCCAGATAATCTTAGGTAGCTGGGAACTAAGCTTAGCTTAGTCCTCACTTGGCTAACTTAGCTATTTGCTTAGCTATTTGCTAAGTTAGCAATTAGCTAACTTAGCTAGTTGCTAAGTTAGCCAAGTTGTAAGCAGACAACTTAGCTAACTTGGCTAGCTGCCTAGTTTAAAAGTCAAACAAGATGGCTCTGGGGAAAAAATTAAGTAAACACCACCAAAACAAGTTTCCTCTTTATTTCTCAGACAACTTCTCTCACTTACTCTTTCTGACTATGCTAAGCTTAGCTAGCTGCTAACTTATCTGCTTACAAATGGCTAACTTAACTAGCTGCCTTGTTTATACGTCACATGAGCTGGTTGAGAGTAAAATTTGAATGTTAGGGAGTAAACGGAAACAGAACAGGTTCCCTGTTTACTTCTCTGAACGAAGGCTTCTTCCATCAAACACAACATGTCTTTTGCTGGTCATGGACTTTTTGTCAAATTTCTGCTCAGTTCTAGTTCCCATAGTAACCCACCCACTAAGGTGTCAAACACTTACAAAAAAGGAGGAGAAAACAAAACAAAACTACTAAACTCGGTATGATTGGGTTCCAATTAAGCCCCCCACCCTACTTCCCTCCTACATGCAGAGCGGGTGAACGAGGAAGATCTCCCGTCTGCTCCTCTTCCTGCCCCCCGTTGTCAAAGCGAATCTGCGAGTTTGTACAGCACTAGATGAGATCGGATCATCTGCTGGATTCTCTTCTAGACGTTTCCCAACATTCGTCGTGTTGTTGTTGTTGGTGTGTATACGTGTACAGCTGATTGTCGAGTCTATCTAAATCGTTGCTGAACAATAATGATGTTTGTGTAACATACTGTACAGATTGTGACACCTAGAAGCCGTGTACTTGGGTGTTTGTTATTTTTTAGTGTCTTGAGTCAATGTGAAAGAATGGATAGGAGCGTGGGTCGTGTGTGTGTGTGTGTGTGTGTGTGCGTGTGTGTGTCCATGCACAGGCTACAGCTGTATTTACACAGCACAAAAGCTGAAGTGATTTTTAACCCTTTGTGGTACATTCAAAAGACGAGTCCCCACTGTTTCTGTGTTGCTTATTGTGCTACAAAAGCTTAAAATCTACTTTTTTCCCCCCCATGCGCTTTCTGTAAATCCAGCACATCCAGCATGAGTTTCATAAGTTCTGGATCATTTCACCATGGCTGAATGTGTATGAGAGGACGACGTGGATGTGGGAAGTAATTTTCACTTTAACATGGAAAAAAAGAAAGAAACTCAAGTGCCTCTATTTGTGTCCAGTTGGAATTGCTCTATTTATTTAAAAAACAAAGAATGAATCTAAATAATTTTCCATACCATATTGGTATAAATATGAACTTTTTTTTTTTGTATAATCAGATGTCTCCATAAGCTTTTTTACTGGCGTTATGACGCCAGGGGTTTGGCTTTAAGATGAAAAAATAAAAGCGTGTGAATTAAACGTGTTGAATTTAGCATCCGTTGCTGTATTCTGATTTCTTGATGATTTGATGAAGTTTCAGTTTTGTCTGAAATGCCTGAAACTTTAAAAATCATTGCATGCAATAAATGGTAGCCTCAGACCAACAATTGCTTGTGTTCATTTGGAGAAAGACGAAAAGAAAAATCGTCTGTTTTGTGTTGCGTAGTTCACTGAATGTGTGGATGTTTTATGTCGCCTGCAGCTAGCTGCTTTAAATGTGCATCACTAACGGTGGCTGTTCGGACGTTCAAGAACCTAAAACACTTAAAAAGGCACAGTAATATTATTTCTACCATTCTGAGGTGGTAAAATGACTGAGAAAATCAATAGGAATGTAAAATGGTTTGCTTAGCTTTGCTAGTTAGCTTAGCTAGCTGCCTGGTCTGGTTCTGGCTAAAAGCTTCCAAATGAACACATCACTGGTGTTTGTTTTGAGCAAAAATCAAACCTACGACAAATTTTTATAGTTTAAAATGAAGTATTTGATTAGTTTTTACTTTTTTAGTATTTGCTACCCTTAACCCAAGCGTTGCCTGAAATGCTCAGGTGTTTTTAAGGTCAACTTAGTCCCATGTTCAACAATGGCATTCTGTCCTCACGGCTTTTTTCTTGATACATCAACTAGTAATTTTTCATTTGCTGCATGTTGAGTGGCTAGTTTCATGGTAATGCTGCAAAGTGTAATTATGTCAACATTTCGCCAGCATCTAAGTTTCTAATGTAGCATGAAATGTCCCATCAGCTCTTAAAATTCAAAGTAAATTCATTTCTTGGTTTTGTAAAAATTATGTCTAAAGACGAGCTGTATGAATGTCCATACTCACTGATTTTACTGAAATATTCTTGAATGGCAACAATTTGAACATGTAGAAAGAACCTGATGGTTACCAGATGCGGAGCTATAGGTGGCAGCTGCCTGTGTTAGGTTTATATAAAAGTTTTTCAAGATTATAAATTCAATTTTCTGCTCAAAATCATTTAAGTGTGAAATCAGGAGTTCTCAGACAATAAGACATATTTCTGTTAGACATCAAATGACATCCATAAATAACCCAGATTGAGTGTAGCTTAATTTTTGGTTTAGTTATGATGAAAACATCACCCTAATATATGCATATTTATATTCATTTTATGTTTTCTATCTGGTTAACTCAGATTTAGAACAAGTTGACCAACTTTGCATTGGGGCTTGAAGGGAACATTACAGCAATTTAGTGTTTGAATCACAGCACAACTGGTAAATATTGAATTAAAGCAACAAATAATTTTTATGCAACGCAATATGACTGTGTGTCTTCATCTAATACGTTTTGGAAACAGACTTGCTCAGCTTGCCCTGTTATACTGCTGGCATCTCATTAAGGATCTCATTAGTTCTTGTTGCATTATCACAGTTGTCAACAAATTTATGAAAGACAGTAGTAAGAAGAAAACATTATTTTTGTAATAATTACAATGGAAAGTTTAATGTGTGTTGCTACCAGATGGTGTCAAGCCAGTAATACTTTGATAATCTCTCCAGCAGTGACAACTTTTCCCTGATTGTGGTTTGCATTTCATTAAGTCACAGATAAAGCTTATTATTTCTAGAAATAACCCCCAAAGAGGATAAACAGTGTTGTGCTTTTATACACATTCATCTCCATAATTCATCAAATGTTTGATTGTAATGAAAAGTCAGCTGATATGTGATGGCATCCATTTTGAAGTTGGAGTATAAATTGGCAAAGGGTTGAAATGACCTTTAACCCTTTGGAGCAGCTCAACTGTGATGAAATCAGAAATGTAGTTTTAACATTCGTATGCCTAATTTTTATCCCAAATGAAGCGTACATTCCCATTTTGTACCCATATATTGAAAACTGGATATGATTTAATTTTTCTTCATAATTCAGTATTTTGTGATTTGTGGATAAATTAGATAATTGCTCAGATTTAATACAGAGCAGTTTCGCAATATTTTTTAATATTGCATATTAATTTCTGCTCTGATCCCTTTTTGGACTATTCAACAGATAAAACCAAAATTGTAAGGAACCTAGCTCTAATTAACATTTAAAGGATTCATGAAACCACATTTCCATGCAATAGACGAACCCGTCATTGTGGGTAAGATCTTTTTCCACCCCAAATAGTATGAAACCCAAATGAGACAAACACAAATAACAAAGGTACGAAACGGCGAAGTAGCTAAATGACCAGCACTCTTGAAGTTATTTAGCTTAGCGAGGTTTGTTGTTTACCTGAAAAGTGCAGCTAGTTTTTAGCTAGCTCAGCAAAGCTCACTAAAAGCAAATAATATGGAATCTAAAACAAAATTAACAAATGTACAAAATAGCAAAGCAGCTAAATTACCAGCACCCTTGAGTAATTGTAGCTTGTTAATTATCTGCCTGTTGTTTACCTGATAAAGTGCAGATAGCTTTTAGCTAGCTGAGCAAAGCTAGCGATCATCTTCATACCAAAGTCTGAATATTACTCAGAGTATTTTCTCTTTTTTTCACAGAAGTAAATAACTTGTCTCTTTTTATTGTGTAAACTGAATCCTACAAATCCTACATCTGAATTCCAACCAAATTAAACTAAGCTAGCATTTTATTACAGTATGCAACATGTTTCTGTAAAATTGTGCTGACAATTATTTTGACCCATTGTTTTTTTAATTATTTGAGTAAAATTTATTTGCAACTGCCTATAATTTAAAAATAAGGTGGCTTTAGGTTTAAAATCTGAGATTTCTGGCTCATGTTAAAATGCTATTAGCCAATCTTCCAGTCCATAGCCATATATTATAAAGTACAGCAAAGTTTATAATGCACTGAAAACCCAGATAGTGACTGAACGCAGCTCTAACTCATCATGTCATGCAGTGAATATGGACACAGTTCACATCCGGCTCAACTTGAACGCTCCAGCGCAGCCACCAGTGGTTTTGCGGCAGCAGCATGGTGACTCTGATCTGGTCTGTGAGCGGATCCCATCAGAACCACTGGCTAAACAAAACAAAGATCAGTGCAGAACACGGCTGACAGCACATCAGTCCAACGTGGGTTTGTGTCGTATCCTTCAAAATGTGTTGCACAACCTCCACTGTTTTTCTTTTTCTACCAGTGCTATCTTTTGGGCCTTTTTTTCTATGGTTCTCTTTTATAATGAAGTTGTTCTATGTGATGAAGATGATGATCAAAAAGTTGTGATGCAGTTCCATTGTTTTTAAATATTTAATGTCTCTGAAATATGGATTAAAACCTGTTTGAACCAGTGATCCCGCTGCTGTCTTTCATTGAGCTCTTAAGATGCATGTCGTGGTTTTGGTTTTAAAGAATGAGGGACGTATGTGAGTCTTAGTAGAGGAATATTTTATGAAAGGACTAAAAAAAAAAACACACATGCATGTTCTAATAGCTCTGATTTAACAATCAGAGGTTCTTCCATGAATTAGCCTGAGAGGTTTTTATGTACACAGGAGCCGATCCAGTCGTCTTACTGCCACTAATGAACTCGTATTTCTACATCACAGTAACTATTAGACTACTTCACCATGCATGATTAATTCACTGAATAAAGTTTCACATTAAAATTCAAGAGAGAGAGCAGAGTCTGATGGAGGAGAGAGAAAAGAAAAGAAGACATGATGGCCTAGTTAAAGTTGAATTTAAGCTACTTTGAGGGACATGAATACGTTTGAATTAAACATTTTGTCATCAAAGTGAGATGATTAAAGTCTGAATCCAGACCTGTAGTCTGCAGGGAAGGCATGTCGTAACTAACTCACATTGTTTTAAAGCTAAAATCACATATTTAAAAGTTGACGTGATAAACCAGAAACAAAATCCGAAAAGTGCGGTGTGCATTTGTATTCAGCCTCAATAAATCAATACGTTTGAGATCAGCCTTTCACAGCCATTATAGCGTCATGTATGGATTGATCAGCTACACACAAGTGACTAAAGAGTGAAGGAGCCCATATGTATGGAGGCTGTAGGCCCCAAAGCAATCAAAGTACATTTCTGCCAAAAAACTCAGAAATGTTCAGACTAATCTCAGAAATTTTCTAAAAATAAAAAAACAGGAAACTTTGTGAGTTTCAAAATGTGAAAAATTTTGACATGGAAAATTTCTGAGTTTTTTTTTCTAGCAAATGTTTTTTTTTGTTTGTTTTACTTTTCAAACAAAATTTCAATGCTTTTTTTTTTTTAATTCTGAAAATAATAAAAATTAATCTGAAAATCTCCGGAGGGGTGGGGTTTCTAATAAAATTTCCAAGTTTTTTTCTCACAACTGTTGGAGCTCAGAAATTTCCTAGTTTTTTTCAATATAAAATTTAAAAAAATTCTGAGATTAATCTCAAAATTTTCAATCTCAAAGTTTTTTCTAGCAAAATTTCCAAGTTGTTTATTTTTCCCCAGAAAAGTTTTTGCTTGCAAATTGTCTCCTTTTTGAACTCATACAATTCCTTGTTTGTTTAATGAAAGTTTCTGAAATGTTTTGGCTGAAAGTTGCTCTTTTTTCCATCTACAACGGCCCTAATATGCCATCATACTTATCGCATCCCACTAGAGCAGAAAAAATTCTTTAAAAATAATTATCTATCACGGCTTCAACAACAATATGGGGTTTTTACTGGAAGTGAACAAAGTTAAAACTGAGTTCATCACAAGGAGAGATCAGGTTGGACATTTTGTTAAAGAATCAAGAATGATGAACACAGAAAACCTGAGTTTAGGTTTAGACAGATCACGGTTACCTCAACCTAACTTTACCAAAGACCAGAGCAGAGCGTCGGTACCGGAGTTCAGCTCAACGGAGCTCCTAAACTCACTCGTCTGGATTAGACTGAATTTATTCTGTGTGATGTTTCTCAGCTAATAGAGCCGGAGCGCTGGGACCCGCCGCTCTTATCGACTGCTGCAGCCCAGATACACAGAGAGAGAAAAAACCTTATCAAACATTTACAAGTTATATTCTTACAGACTTGGTGAGTGAGAAACTCCACTCTGGGCCTGTAAATGAAAAGCTTGTTAGACTTAGTGCAAAAAAAAAAAAAAAAAGCTCTACAAACAAATCAGTCGTAATTCTGATCTCAGTGACCTTGAAGAGTCGGTTTTCTATGTCCATATTTATTATGCAACTGTGGGTAGAATATCTTTTGATAAATAGTTAAAATAGGGGAAAGCTGCATTTATATTTCAAGAGCCATCTGTTAAAATGTAAGAGAAAAAGTTTAAAGCTTGAGATGAAGACCCAGAAATACGAACGCCGTTCTTTCATCTGAACAAAAACAAAGAAATGAATGTCTTCCAGCAGAAGCCAAGTCATCATCTCAGAAAACATGAATAGTGTGGAATGGATATAGCATATTTCAGCTGCTGTTATTTGAAACACTAAAATTATTTACATAAATGTTGTAATTTCTGGTTTTGACCAGTGTTATTCCTGCTGAATTTGGAATCCACAGTAAGGCAGCATTAAAGTATCAAGAATTAGTGTCTGAAATTTATGATATAAGACAAAAAAAAATACTTTATATTTATATGCTAGCTAAAAAGAAAAGTATGATGGATTGCTTAAATTTTTGTGTACAAGAAAAATAAATACTTTGGAAAAAAATAATTTCTCACAAGTATTTAGTTTTTGTGTCATCATTAGAGCTGAACCGATCCGATACTAACATCTGTATCGGTCTCAATATTGAAAAAAATTCTTATCGGGTATTGATGTCGATGTTCCCGATCCATGGAATTAGACTGAATAGGCAGATCTGGTCAGTCTAGTTCTATGGTTTGTGCTCTGAGTGATGTCATCCTTTATTTCTTATTTCACATTGTATTTGAATTAAACACTGAACTTTCTGAACCATCTGAAAGATTTACTGAAGTTTATTTCCTACATGTTTGACCAAAATAGTCAACCTGTTGATATTGCCAGCTTCAGTTTCTTCATGATTTATTTTCCTAATTGCACTGATTGAACAAATTAAAGTTGTTTTTACAAGTTTTAACAGGCTTTTGAAGCTGTTGGTGTATTTCAGTGGCTGAACAGATGCAGATTTATCAAATACTTACTGTACTTCAGTACATTTGTGACTGTTTAAAAAAAAGAAACATTTTAAGTCGGTTCAGTCGTTTTTCGGATCACAGTTGGGCGATACTGAACCTCAGGTATCACATCGGTAGTGAAGGAAGTGGATCAGTGAATCTCTGGTATTGATAAAGTCTTAGCTGTCCAGTAAGATTCAGACAGGCTAAAAAGATGATTGTCAAAAACAAAAACACAGCAGCGTTATCGTCAGTGTAAATGTCACATGTCTAGCTGCAGCTGCAAATATTGTGGAAAATGTAAATAAGATAATATGGAGATTTTTATTGAGTGTGTATTAATACACTCATCTTAGATAAGATGTCAGCAATCTCAACAACAACAAAAAAAACATTAAAAGAATAAATGTACATTTTCAGAGAGAAACTTGCCTCTGTTTTATATTCCTTCCACATCGTTTCCATCCCTATAACTGACTGAATCAGACTCATTAGGGAAAGGAACCCACTCAGAAGTTCATTTTCTCTGCTGATGGTCATAGTGGCGGCGTTTAGACGATGCCACTACCCTCATCCTGAGCTGTGATTGGTTAAAGCGCTGTTTCCTGTTTGGCTGTCGGGTTCACAGCTACGGAGTCCTGATTAAACCAGTTTCACGCTGACAGGAAACACATCTCATCATCTCAAGCTTTGTAGAGGCGTCCAAAGTGCCAGTCAGATAGAAGATGAGGTCGGGTTTTTTTTGGCCTGACACTCAGTACAAGGCCTTGTTCGCACGTCGCTGGGTCTTTTTAAAAAACAATATCTCTGCCACGTCATTCAATAATATCACACAGAAAAGTTTTTGTCCTTTCGACATTTTTAAATCCGCCTAAAAGCGCCGTTTTAAACCTGCCAAACCCATAGGGGGCAGTGTAGCGCAAAACTAAAACCTACGTCAGCCAATCAGATGGCTTCAAAACAAGCATGACTTCCTGTTAGGAATTAAAGATGGCGCCAATAGGTTAATTTATGTGGACAGATATAAAGGTTGAACTACTTTTAAATTGCGTGTTAGAATATAAGGTTAATAAGGTTTGGCTCCTGAGTCTGATTTGACCAAAGTACAAGATTACAGTTAAAGCTGAATGGATGTTGAGATCATCTCTAAGTAGCTTAGTTCCTATTGTAAAGGTTTAAAGTATTGTCAAGTTAACAGGGAGAAACAATGACATCACAATCCTGAGGCAGTAGTTTCTCTCGATACCAGGTTATAGAAACAAAACGTTTACCTTTACCAGTAGATGAAGCCTTGCCCACTGTCTGACCCCCCACTGTATAAATGTCACATTCCAACAGTTCAAGATCTTATTTATCGTTTTTCAATAAATTGCTAGTTCCACCTCATTGTAAATGACTCCACCTCATATTAGGGGAACTGGAATGATCCAAAGTCTGAGTTCTGGTTTGGAAACCTCTCTGGTTCCGACCACAAGCATCCAATTCCAATTGGCGGACAGCAAAAATGAAGACTGGATACAATTTTGGGAAGAAATGATTCAAATATTCAGGAACAAATACAGCCGGGTCGGATGGACAGCCTTGGCCGTAGTAGGACTGCTTCCTTCAGATTTGTTGGCTGAAATAACTAGAAAGTCCACTGGAGAATATTCTCTTTGTTGTGAGAAATTACTTTTGCTGTCGGTGCCTAAAGTCTGAACTGAATGTGGGAAATATTTTCAGTTTTCTGTTCTGTTTTCTTGGAACTAGTTGTAGAAACACATGAACCCAGAGTTGCTGTAATGTCTAAATGTTTTTTAACGCTGCTCTCATTGATTTTGAGAAAGAATCGTTGATCTGTAAATGTTTTAACTGAGGAATATTTTAAAGGGGCGGGATTTTTTGAGCTTTACATCATGTTATGATGTTATCCCCTCATCAAGTTACTTCGATTCTTTCATGCATGTTTGAGAAATCCTTATAATCTCCATGGTAACCATTCAGCTGTGCCAAACACCCAGATGGATCTAGCTCCGCCTTTAATGCATAGCTCCTCCAATAAGCTGCAGTTTCCAAAACTCCAAGCTTCTGCCTTCCCCTTGACTTCGCCACTCAGCTCCTTCAGACTAGCCAGAAAAATTAGCAAACATCTGGTGAAACTGCACATCTGCTGAGCTCATTACAGGAGCTACTTCTCAGAGAAACGCTGGTGAAAGTGTTGTTAAAGGGTTAATAGAGGAGCCATGTTGTGATGACTTCCTGTAGGTGGAGTTTTTAAAGAGACAGAAGCCTAATTTCAATTTGTTTAAATAGGAACTGAAAAAAATTGTAAGTCATATTTGATATCTAATAAATGATGGTAGTTGTTACTTGATTGTGCTATAAAATTATACTATGAATCTGGAAAAGTCAAGACACTGCCCCTTTAATTTATGATGGTGTTAACTTTTTAACTGTTTTGCTGTGAATGTTCTGTGATTTTTAATCTTGGTGGGATTTTCCTGGTGAAATAAAGACTATTAATAATAATAATAATAATAATAATAATAATATAAGAGCAGATTCCCTGTAGCAAGAACGTCCTGGTTTGACACGACGAAGTGTAAAATCCTCCTTCATGTCCAACTGATAGGAAAAAAGTGTTAAACAGCAAGAAAGAAGATTGAGTATGTTTAATAAAGTGCCTCGCTATGAGCAACTTCCACATGCTGCTTAATGTGTGGCACTGGAGCATCTAATTAGCTGACTGGTCTGTAGCTCCAGCCGCGAAGAAGAAGAAGAAAAAGCTCCTCTGTGACAAACTACTCTTCAAATCCACTTCTTTAAGTCCTTGGGAGGCTGTTTACTATTCCTGGATTTTTCCACACGCCGTAAACACACACACCTCCGAGACGAGGCCCGGTCTCAGCGCAGCTGAGCTAAGCGCTTTCCACACACACACACACACACACACACACACACACACATTATCTCTAATGTGATTGTATGTCGCCGCCGTTAACAGAAAGTCAGTGTGACCTGCCAGAGTACGAGCCCACAGCGGTAATGCAATTACCAGTGTATAAAACATAATGATAGATGATGAGCATGAGACAAAGACGGAGCGGATCGGAGAAAGAAGCGGATCGGTCGCTGGGAATGATGGAGTGAAGAAGAGGAGGAGAAATGGCGGAGGGAGGGACGGAGGACGGCAGGTGAGCGGTAATGTAATTGCAATTAGATCAATTCGACTGCGGTCAGAGATCGGCGCTTGCGATGATAAATATTGATCTGATGACAGCAGCGGAGCAGAAATGTGAGCCGACAGGAATGCAGGTGGCAGGACGGAGAAGATGCAGCGGGACCGACCCGGACGTTTCCACCGCCTCACAAAGCACAACGAGTGACACCAAACATTTACACACCGCTGTGACCTCTGTAAACTGAAAAACTGATTCATTAGCGATATTTATTGATTAAATTAAACTATACCTTCTGACGAGGCTCGTCTGTCGCATTGGAAGTGTTTTTTTTTTTTAAGCTAACCTTTCAGCAGGTATTAAACTGAAGGACGTTTTCTAATTCCTTCAGCTGCAAGAAAATTAATTTTCTCAAACGCACCTTTACTCAGAGCAGTAACTCCGATTAAAGCTGGACAGAAGTCAGGTGTTAAGAGAGGCTGAAAAGCTTTTAGCAGTCACACACTAATAATTGTAATGGTTAATTAGTTGTAGATTTTATTAATTTAACATTTTGTATGTATTGTAGTTAATATTTTTACCAGAGATATATTTGAATGATTTCTAGGACCCTCTAGAAATAATTTTCTATGGACCCCCAGCTAACTGGGATCCTAAACAAACAGTTCATTAAGTCCATGTTTCTGTACTGAAAAATGTTTTGTTGAATGTAACTGTTTGCTCCAACTGCATCCCAAAGGATCTAATAAGAAATTGGACAGCAGGAAAAGATGCTCGTTAGTTTTAAAATTTAAACCTCAAAAACACTGATGTTTTACTGAAGCAAACGCACAAGATGAGCCAAAAGGCTGAGATACTCGGAGGTAAAAGGAATCCAAAAATCTGAAATAAAGGAAAAAGAAAAACAAACTGAGAATGATATTTGGAAGTGGTGAAACTGGCAGGGAATAGATATAAAGTGCTGCCATGGTTTTTTTGTGTTTTTTTTTTATCTTTTCATCTTTAACACGTACTTCATTTCAGGCAAATGGTTCTGCATGAGTGCCAGGAGATTTTAAAAAGGCGTGAGACGAGACTCACACCATGTTTTTAGATGAAATTACAATGTTTTTAATAGTTGGTTATAAAAAGTCAGAGAAACAGAAAAAGACTGCCAGTTCCAGAAAGCGGTATTTTCCTTCCCAGAGGTTCTTTAACACAGACAAACATGATGTTTTTGAGGTGTTAAATATGAAATCAAAATATAAAACCACACAACAGTACTTCAGGGTTTTTTGGGTTTTTTTTCTCATCCCGTCAGAATCCGACCTGTGATCCAGAATTCACTCAGATCCCTTTAAGAGAAGCCGGTGCTGCAGACTGCAAGAAGCTGACTGAGTAAATCCTCTTCATTCATCATCAGACCCCAAATTAAAGCTGAAATTGCTTTCTTCTAAATGGCCACAGCAAAAAATCGTCGGGCGCTGCAGCAGCAGCAGCAGCAGTAAAAACGCAGCTACACTCCGTTTCATTTGCATTACGGTTTTATGGCGGTGGCTTTTTGCTCGGTTCATTCCAGGTCCCGAATTAAATCTGAACCAACTGTGGGGGAAACGGCCATAAGTGAAAGCGAAAATGTCAAAGTGTATGGCGACAGTACAGGATGTGCAAGTCGCCCTCAGCTGTTGTGGCAGAAAGGAAAAGACTTTATTTAAAAGGTTACCTGAGGAGGACTGGGTGCTATAAAAGGAAAAACCTGTTGGGATTTTTTTTTCAGAGGGAAATTTATTTAAATCTGAAATCCTTCATGAGGCAACGTCAAGCCCAGTTTGTTACCAAGGTTCCCTACTTCCCGTTTCAAGAGTTTAATACAAATAAGAGACATCACCACCAGAACCAGTCAACTAAAAACAGTTGGTACTGGGAGTCTACTGGTTCAGTCTGGTTTACACCATTACATTCATCTCCATCTTTCTCCATGAAGTTGGCTCAGAACAAAAGCTGTGTTTCCATTGACCACACAACTAAGCAAATTGGAATTTTGAAAATAAATTTGCTCAATGGAAAAACAGCAATCTCATGTTTGGTTAAGTTTTGGCACAAGGATGAGGTTTTTTTTCAGCTGTATCTAAATTAGTGCATTTCATAAAACTGCAACAGAAACACGTTTTCGCATCACATGATCAACAACCGGATGTTTCTACAGCCAAAAACCACGAAGACGACAACAGGATGATGCCGTGGTATATAATTAATGACTCATCACATGAACAAGCTTAGTCACGTGTAATTTTAACGGAGTTACTTAATGGAAACACCGCCATTACAAAATTGAGATTTTTCGACATTAGTGGAATATCAACCCAGTTTTGCACTCAAGACAGAAAAACCCTGATGTTGATATTCTCACCTAAGGAACAGGCATCATGTGGAAGCACCTCTTGATGGCCGCAGCCTCAGGCTCCCGTCTCCTCATGTTTGTTTTTTGGATGGGCTACACTGAAACCAGTATATGATGCTTCTATATGATGACGAAGATTGATTTGAATTTGCAATGGAAATGCAGATTACTCAAAGCCTGAACTTATTAGCAGCTGAAAACCAGAGATTTTTTTACAATATTCACCTCCATAATGATTTTACCAAAAAACATTTACTGGTGGTCCCATTTAGAGTAGAAACCATCAACAGCAGTTGGGATTGTGTGACTGAATCTTGTTTCTAAAACACTTTTAGTACCATTTTAACATTTATAACCTGCCACATGTGCCATAATGGTAAGTATCCAACCCACTTCTGTTTTAATTGGTAATCCCATTACCTTTATTTTTATTGATTTCCATGTTATTGTCATGGATAAAGTCAATTTGCATGCGTTCCATATAGCAGCCAGTGATTGTGCAAGGCGGTTTGTGCAGCAGCAGCTGTTAATCTGTCATGTTGTGTGATGTGAGGATTCCAGTGGCACCAAATAAGATAAAACATGTTGGTATGTCAGTAAAGTTTCAGCATCCTGGGCGACGCAGGCAGAGGAAAGGCTTAAGCCGCTCAGCCTCTCACTGCCAGCTAAGAAAGGCTGGTGGCATCAACTCACTCACTCAGTGGTTACCTAGCAACAACCTGCTGAGAAACTGGCGCAGCAGCAGTTTCACGTTTTGCCATCATGCCTCAAAAACTGCTTAAAAATAAAAATGAAAATAAAATGGCGAGGAGTGAAAAATGTGGCTAAAACAGAAAAGGTCATGCTGCCAGTTTGGCAGTCTATCAGATATTAAAACCAAACCCTGATCAATAATCGATAAACTGATATGAAACCTTTATATCTCAATACATTTTTTCAGCCACATCATCCAGCCATGATGGAGTCTTGTCGTGAAAAAGGTGATTATTTTGTGGAATAGTAATTACTTTGTGAAAAGTAAAGTTTTAACATTTTTAATTAGGAACATAAACCAAACAAAGTAAAAAAAAAACCTGAAACATAGTGCAAGATTTATATATATATATATATATATATATATATATATATATATATATATATATATATATATGACACGCAGTGTTTTTCCCTTTCAGGCAGCTATATTCCCTTTGAGCTTGTCCCAGTGAGTCCATCTGTTGTGTTTAATGCACGTCACACCTTCCCTCTGTCTGTCTTCAGTCCTGCTGTGTGGTAATGGAGCTGGAGCCTCATTCTTGTCTGCAGACTCATGTCCTGAAAAATAAGTAGAGTAACTAAAAACTATTCAGAAAAACCCCCAAAAGATTAGTTACTGAAGCCAATTAAAACGTACAGGAGGAAGGCTGGCCATCTTCTTCGTCACCATATTGTGGTCCAGTTTCTTGTAGACGTTCTCATCCTCCTCGGGGTCGACTGACAATATGTACAGCTCCCCTGCATGAACATCCGACAGGTTCACCTAGATTGAGAGACGAATGAGCAATAAAGACAAACATAAGCCACTTTTTGACACGGGATAAGTCTGAGACGCACAAGATGGACGGACCCATCGCGCTCAACTCCCCAGGCAGAACCCAACCCGTTTAGAAGAGAAGACAAGAGGCAGATAGGAGAAAGCTGTTATGGCGCGAGAGTCTTGGATGCGTCACACCCACCTGGAAGCTTCTGGGATCAAAGCCAAGCCACAGGGTGTATCTGTAGATCCAGTTACGCATCGAGTAACCCATCACCTTGATGTCTTTGAGATCAGGAAGGTCAGAGTTGTTCTAAAAGAAGAATTTAGAGCAATGATGTGTTTTTTGTTTTTTTTTATCTGAGGACATTTCTCTGCACAGCTGCCTAGTCATTGTATCAAGCATCAGGCTGTTCCATCTTCACGGCTCTGGAGAGAACAGAGGAAGCAGCCCGGGTACAAACAGAGGGTATAGGTCAGGGGCGAGATTAGAATTATACCACCATATTTTGTGACACTGTTGTGATAATGATTATTTTGAACAAATCACACTTTACACTATTCTTTTTATACTTTAAACTATTTTTCAATATATCAAAATACATGTGACAGTATACATTATATTAACAATTTTACACTATATCTCTACATCTTTTTTTAGACTAACTAATTTCACCATCGTGATGAAACTTTACGTGGCGTTTTGTACCTGCGGGGTGTCAGCCGGACGAGGGTATTGGCTGAAAGCTATGCGTTCAGGGATCATCCCTCGTTCTATCTGGTAAAACGTGTCTACCAGGTTCCTTCCTGCTGTGCACAGCTCCACCTGAAACAGAGCAGAGGGCAGTAAAACACTCGGCCTGCAGCTACAACTGATTATACTGGACAATAAAATGTCCCAGTAATTATCGTGAGAAACCATGATGTTGTTTTTGAGTCCATTTTCAAGTAATATCTTGATAACAGCATAATAATGTAGCTTCACCATCTCAAGGACCAAGAAACTTTTAGAAAAAAATACTTTACACAGGATCTGTAAAATATTTTAAATCCATAAATGGAAATAAAAACCACACACAACCAAAGCCATAAATAAGATGTGTATGTTGGAACCACAACAGTGGATTTTCCAGATTATCGGCCAGCTCTTTGTTTTTGTTTTTTATTAAAATCATTCAATAGCTGGAAATAAAAGCTATTTTCAGAGATTCCCAAAATATCTGGAAAACTTATTTCTACATCATCATGCTAATATTATTAACGAAGGAAAAAGTAGAACTCAACTGTAAAAAAAAAAAAAAAAAAAAAAGGTTTTTTATTTTAAAATATTTAAAAAAAAAGTCAGTTCCAGCTTTATGGTCTGAGTTAATTCAGCTGTGATTAGCATCATTTACATCAAGCAGGGTTGGGCTAGAGTAGCCTTCCTTTTTCTAAAGCCTTTCTCTCACGAATGTCAATTTTCTTGCAATATTTCAAATCAGAACAAGGTTGAGGGCTTTTTGAAAAATGGATCAACTATATTGCAGATGTTCCATGTCAGTAAATGCACTGACTGTACATCATCAGTTTTGGCACAGGAAAAGCCAATCGTTACTTTTCTTAACATTTTTTTCCAGAACATTTCCTTCTCAGTAGCAAGAAAAGTGTATCAATGACACATTTATGCTCAATATTTAACTGCCTGCTATATGTGATTGATTAAAAAAAGTTACCATCCAGATAAACCTAAAAGAATCTGTGTTGTGCAATAATTTGGCTTAAAATTGCTTAATGTATAATATTAAGCCAGGTAAAAACATCCATAATTAAAAAGCTCAATCTCCAATCTGAGCTGTTAAATCTGTAGTATGAAACCTCAAACCTGATACCTGGATACTCTGAGCTCATCTTGTGTTGGATAAATTTACTTATTTGGGTTTTTATACCTGGAAAGAAACATCAGGACATTCCTCAAGTGCTGGGAGGCCGGCCATGCAAGAAACTGTAGGAAAAATATCCACCAGCTCCACCGTGGTTTGGATAACTCTGGCATCTGGGAGCAAAGAAAAATTTAAATACAAAGTCATACAGTTGAAGTTTTAACCATCCACAGCCAGCAAAGACAGCGAAGGTACCCCGAAAATGTGTTATTTAATGTACTTGAATTTCATCACCATTGCACCACTTTTACTTGCAGAAAAAAAAACTATCCTTAGGCAAAATATCTAAGAGTATCCATGTCTAAATGCGTTTCTTTCAAGCCCCCTGTGTACATTGACGACTTCATTAAAAAGTTTAATGGGTACATTAGAAAATGTTTTAACAAGCTTTATGAGAGCACTTAAAACCCCACAAGTTTTCTGTTTAAATATGCACTAAGGCTGTGGAAAGCAGATACTTTTATAGGCATTAAAAAGGTTTTGCCAGCAGACGGTTCTTACTTGTGAAGCTGTACTCTGGTTGGGTTAAAACATCAATAAAGGGGAAGGTAGACTCTCCTGGAGAGCTGTAGGAGGCTGTGACCCCAGGGACAAACATGATGAGGGGAACACGCGTCACCACGTCAAAATTGGAGTATTTAGCCCACTCGCCGTGTTCGCCTAACGACCAACCTGTTTTAAGAAGAGGGGGAACAATTTGAGGTTTTGGATTAAAAAGCGCTGATGTGACAGAGGTGAAGATGAAACATAGCACAAATAAAAGAACTAATTATATTTGTACAACTTTTTCCACATCATCCGCCACATAAATGTTTACATTAATTTAGGTTTGTCAAAAGAAAAAAAAAAGGACAACAGCTGTTAAAGATGGGAAGTAATGCGAACAAAGAGCAGCAGTTTTATATGACAAGATATTTGCCGTCACAACACTGCCATCTGGTGGTCAAAAGGAACTGCAGCAAGTCATTATTGAGTGGAACATCTTAAAAGTGTTCAGGGAGGAAACGATTTACTGACACCGCTTATGAAGATGTGTAGAAGATCTTAAAATACATTTATTTCATTGTAGCATATCCTCAGAAAAATCCAGCTTTATTTCTAGTAGAAAAAATCTTGCATTAAAAAATAATTTTAAACTAAATCTTCCATGACTTCTAGTTAAATAAATGTAACTATTCTTTTGTTTATTTATTACCCGTTAATGGCCTCCGTGAACTTTAAATAGTAAATCAATTACCTTATATTTACCTGGGGTACAAACGTATCTTGACAAGTGCGTGCCTTTAGGAGGCAATCGTTTCTCAATAGAGCCTAGACCCTCTGGACGAAGCAAAGGGAACAACAAGGTTCTGGTTTATACCGTCCTAATTCCAACCCAGCTGGATCAAATGAGTGAATTACCTCTTCACCATGCCATAACGTTTAGCAAAGGCCTGGTAACAAGTTCATTTTATGCAGGTGTGTTTGGAGGAGGGTTGCATCCGAAACCTGTAGGATAGCAGATCTCCAGAACCAGGGTTGGAGACCCCTGATCTAAAAGTGCCAAGAGAAATATCCATAGATCCCTTTCTTCATCTGATCCAACCTTGTGAAAAATCACAGGTGAAGACCAGAAAAGAGGTAAAAGATCACTTTTACAGTTTCTACACATCTTCACTAGGGTGTGCAAGTAAACCTGCTACATCTGTATGAGAGATGCCTGTTAAGCTCCAGATAATAAGAAAACACAAATTTTGGGGCATAAAAGTCTAACCATGATCAGATGTGAAAACCACCATTGTGCTGTCAGTCAACCCAAGAGCATCAAGAGTGCTGAGAAGCCTCCCAACTTGAGCGTCCATGTAAGACACAGCGGCGTAGTAGTGCTGACGGATACGCCGCTGGAAGACATGGCAGAGCAACACTGTTGTACTTCCTTATTGATGAAGAAGGAGCACACCATCGTCAGAGATTGAAAGGTTTGTGTTTTTTTACCTGGAAGTCTTTAGGAATTGGTCCGTATGGAAAGCTGACATTTAGTTTCTGAACGTCCTCCCTCTTTCTCACATCGGTCCAGGGGTTGTAGGCTACAGGAGGAAGGAGCTTAGGAACATCTGGGTCAGGGGCCAAAGGCATTTCATCTAAGGGGTACAGGCTCAGGTACTCCTGGAACATTGAAGGGCATTCAAGTGTTAAACATGGATAAAACCACCACAAAGAGACAGTCTGTCTAAAGATGGAAATATCTACTTCCAATGTTTACCATTAAATTATTCACTACCGCTAATCTAAAAATGAATACTACCAACTAGCACCAACAAAATGCCTCCATGAAGCCATTTGAAGATTTCTAAATAAAACATACCAAAGATTTCCAAGAATCAATGCCGTCAACTCCTGACCAGTACCTCTCGTTTTCTCGACTTTCCTTTTCTTTCCTTGTTTGGACTCAGTGGTTATCCCAAAACGCTATTTTTCCATGCTTATTCTCTTTTTCCTATCAGCCATTATTTCTCCTCATTTCCCCAACACTATTTACAAAGGCTTTGTGTCTGCTTTTGTCTAGGATTTGGGAGCATTTGTCCAAAACATACTTAAGCAAAACTGCCTCCTCTCACAGGACAATAACCTCCCCCACCTCTCCCACTCAGCCGTATTTGTGCCAACAACAGCCTGCTCATTTAGGGGCTGGGGGACCGACTGAATTGTTTATAATGAATCCGATTCAGAGCGACTGAATTGCTGTCCTTGTGCCATGCATTACACAGACTGGACCAGAACGACGACTGCAGCCAGTCAAACGCAGCAAGATCTCATTAAAACTGAGATTTAATTGATCATTTTGCAAAATGCATGAATGATTAATACAGGCTGAGCTGATACTGATCAGAACCACCTTTCACTTCAGTTGCCACTTAAAGTCTCTTCACATGTAGAGACTGAAATTTTTATGAAAACAAGCTCAGATTCAGAGATGGAGCTAGGTCTGGACTTTGATTAGGCCACTTAGACATCAATTTTTTCATGTGTAGTTCCAAACATTTTCTTATCCCCAATAAACTTTTTTTGACCCTGCTGAAGAAAAAGCATCCCTATAGCATGATGCAGCCCCCACCTTGCATTAACGTAGAAGGGTGTGTTTTGGGAGTTAAGCAGTTCATTTTTTGCCTTTTTTGAGCCAAATTTGGCTTCTTCTGACCAAAGCAGCTTCTTTTACACATTTGCCATGCCTCCTATATGTTTGAGGGAAACAGATTTTTGAACAACAGCTTTATTATTGAGAAAACTCATAAGGGTAACAGCTGCGTTTACTACAGTTAAGATGGCGGCCATGTTTTGATAGGTTTGGATTTCCATTTTCCGATGACTTGGTTGCATTTCATAAAATCTTTGGATAGTTTTCCATGACTTAACTCTGCTTTAAACTTCCAAATTTAATCCCTGATCCATCCTTTCTGATTTTTAACAGTAGACCTATAAGTGGCTGAAATAGATTTTTAATTTAGGGCAAAAGCAAATTCCTCTGTTTTTATTAGTTTGAAAAACCTCGAAACCAACATTTTACTTCAAGTTTCATAAATATTACACACTATGGCATATAAAATCCCAATAAATGCATAAAAATTGTAGCAGCAGTGCAACAAGTATAAATAGGGATATGAAACACTGTTTAATCTCATAGCATTACGAACTAACACCAAACAATCTGTAAGCTCTTCTTTCACAAGCAAATTCAACACCAGATCAATTCCATTTTTACTTTAACTACACAGTTTCAGCTTTGACACAAGGAGGATCAGACAGGAGAAGCCATATCTTTGATATGCAGCTGCATTAAGCCAACATCTGACAATGCACAGCTAAAATGTTCAATTTGCCACAGACTGTCGTTTTACACAATCCACTGCATAAACTAAATTTGCAAATGTTCCTATTTAGCATGTTATCACATCAGTCTCTCCCAGCTGCTCAACATGATCAAAATCAATAACAGCAGCATGTGTTGGGAGATGTTTATGTGAGGACGTGAAGTCGGTGAATGCATCAGAAGCTGCTCAATTAAAACCAATTCATCAGGAAGCTTGCTGCCAGGTTGAGTCTGATTAATGAGGTACGTTTCCACTCTGATGAATTCCATGTTTTACAGAAGTCGTGTTGCATAGGCTGTGCCATAAATAAAAACTTGTGTACCTGTGGGATCCTGAAAGGTATGTGTGGTTTGTGAAAGCCCACAGCCAGGAAGAACGGCGCTCCGTCGCTGGCCCGACTCTTCAGTAGCCTCACTGCTTCGTCGGTGCTCTCCAGGTCCGGCAGGGTTCCCCCAGGCTGCTCCGTCACGTTAACCGCACACAGCAGGTTGGCGTGGAGCTGACCGTCCTCGCCTTTACACATCTGAAGAAGAGATGTTCACTTTATTCGCTTTTAGAGATCATTTTGATTGTGTGTCCTCTTCCTGTCCACTCCAGGTGCAAAAGTCATTCTGTGACCGTCATGATTTACAAATTTTGCTGGATGATAAATTGCCCCAGTAATTGTTGTGATAAATAATATTGTTGTTTTGAGATCATTTTCAAGTAATTGATAATGGCATAACTAACTTTTGTAAAGAACAACACTGGAGTGGAAGATATTTTAAATAAAGCAAGGTTATACAATAAAATAAAAAATAGAAATAAAAAACTCCATAAAACCAAAGCCATAAATGAAATGGATTATGAAGTCTTTGTAAACAAAACTGCCCTTCAATCAACAGAATGGGAATTATGGAGCTCATTTTAATTAATACAATTAATTGAATTGTTTATTGTGGCAGGCTTAGCTGGATAATATCTGGGTGTTACAGCTGTTTTACACCGTTCACTCCTTCACACACTGGAACCCCATTTCATACCCACATGTTGTCATGACAACCATTTCAAACACTCGTGGCAGCCTTTTAGCCCAGTTATTTTTGTCTTATTTTAAACTGTCATAGAATCTACATTTTCTGGTCTGTACATGTAAACTTGTGACAAATAAAGCTCGATTAAGTTACCCTTTTCATTTTTTAAATGTAAAAGTGCGTTATAAACAGTGCAAAAGAAACATGATTTACAGTATTAGCTGCAGGTACAAACATCCACTAGGAGCACACAAAAGTGATTAGACATTTTTTAGCAGATGGCACCATTTTGTATCGCAACACTTCATTTAACCTTTTACATTGCAGGTTAAAACAATCCAAAGCACCTCTAGCAGACTCCAAGTTCCAGTCTGCCATCAACTTCCTCACCATATGCTTGTTTTGAAATTACCACATTCAAATCATCAGTACTGGACTACCACAAGGTTGTGTTGTGTCCCCATCTAATCCATATCCAATCTATTGACAAAGTCTAAACTGGAGATTCAAAAGTTTGAAGATGACAACTGTGGGTATGGAAATAATAGAGGCTTAGTTTTGGAGTAACTGGACAGAGTATTGTGACAACTGCCACATGTTGACCCTAAGGACTATGGAGACAAAGGTTTGCGAAATTCAGACTCCCGACTATAAGGGGAAGGTGGTGGGGTGAGGGGGGAATAAGTTCAAAATGCTCTTTAGGCAGGTACAAAATGATGCTTGGTCTGGACAAGATGTCTTTAGATGGCAAAATTTGTAAAATCTGAGGCTAAATGAACACCTGTGAGATTTGAAAGCGGAAAGAAAACCTTTGTTTTCCTGGATACAACAAAAAGCTAAATGTACAGTAAGAAAAACTGTAAATACTAATAAAGCAAAAAAAAAAAAGTCACTTCCAATGTTGGGCACCATCAGCACCTAAATAGACTCCTTACAGATTACAGTGTAGATATGCTGTGCAGAATGGCCTACAACAGTAAGAGACGTTTCTCTTCAGTCTAATATTTTCCCTTCCTCTCCCCTCATGCTTCGTCCCATTGAAGAAAAAACATGGTTGTGTTTAGTCATCTTCCTTCATCAGAGCATCTTAATGTAGCATTCAGATCTACAGTGGATCAGAAAGAAATCTGACATTTAATCTTAAGGCAGAATTGTATCGTCAGTGAGCCGAGTTTCTGTGGTTCCCATTTCCTTTTATACTTTCCCCTCTTACAGACTGGTTTAGTGAATATTTGCTGTGTAGCATTGTCAATAAAATGTTCGTCTTAAATATTCCGTTTTCTGTGTGACATGTTAAAATGTTGAGTTTAGCCAGGTTTCGAGAAACAAATACACAATACACATTGCATGAAGGTTTTATTAAGTGCAACTTTCCCAACAACTCAAAAACACTTTTACAAACATATTCAGCTGCTTCTGTATGTCAGTTTTCAGTTTTAGGAGGAACAGGTTTCATTGAGTTTTACTTCTTTGGGAAGCTTCCACTGAAATCAAAAGTGAAACTGGGACTTTGAGGATCCCACTTTTGAACACTGGAGTTGATTGGCAGCAGACTACAAACTTTTTCTGAATTATTTATGGACAATGTGGGAAGGAGGAGAAAAGATGCAACTGTTGGGAAGTCCCACGCAGAGAGGGCACATCCTATCTGCGATACCTCTGGTGGTGAATGGTTCGTTTATGTCGTCTTCTGTGACGAGAGATTGGTGTAGGAGGAGGTGCGGCTGTAGGAGGAGGTGTGACTTTAGGGGAAGGTGTGACTTTAGGGGAAGGGGCAGCACTAGAAGGAGGTACCACTTTGGAAAGAGCTGCCACTGTATTAAGAGGTGGGGCTTTAGGAGGAGGTGCAGCATTAGGAGGTGCAGATATATGAAGAAGTGTGGCTTTAAGATGAGGCAGAACTTTAGAAGGTGCGACTTTAGCAGGTGTGGCTTTAGGATGAGATGCTGCTTTGGGAAGAGGTGCAGCTCTAGGAGGTGCGGCATTTGAAGGAGGTGCAACTATCTGAAAAACTACAACTTCAGGAGGCAGTGCAGATTTAGGACAAGGTGCCGCTTTGCGAAGAAGTGCAGCTGTAAAAGGAGGAATGATGTTAGGATATACAGCTGTAAGAGGTGCTGCTTTAGGAGGTATGATTTTAGGAGAAGGTGCAGATTTAGGATGAGGTGCAGCATTTGAAGGAGGCTCAGCTATATGAAGAATTGTGACTTTAGGATGAGGTGCAGATTTAGGATGAGGTGCCGCTTTGGGAAGAGGTGCAGCTGTAAAAGAAGGAACGATTTTGGGAGGAGGTGCAACTATATGAAGAGGTGCCGCTTTATGAGGTGCAGATTTAGGATGAGGTGCAGCTGTAAAAGAAGGAGCAATTTTGGGAGGAGGTGCAGCTATATGAAGAGGTGCTGCTTTATGAGGTGCAGATTTAGGATGAGGTGCCGCTCTGGGAAGAGGTGCAGCTGTAAAAGAAGGAGCGATTTTGGGAGGAGGTGCAACTATATGAAGAGGTGCCGCTTTATGAGGTGCAGATTTAGGATGAGGTGCCGCTTTGGGAAGGGGTGCATCTGTAGAAGGAAGTGCATCTTTACGAGGAGGTGCAAATTTATGAGGTGCAGCTTTAGAAGGAGGAGGTGCTGCTTTAAGAAGCAATTCAACTTCTGGCAGAGGTGCAAGAGAAGGTGCAATTTTAGGAGTCAGTGCAGAAACTTTAAGAGTCTCTCCAAGAGGAGCTGAAGCTTTAGATGGGAGTTGGTGGATAAGTAGGAACCGATTCCCTCTTTCCATCATCTGCTCCTCTTTGGCTGAAACTGAACGCTGTTTGCATCCAGATACATTCTGGTCTGGTTCTGTCAAAAGTAAAAACAGTCTGTTAGCTCAACTGGATACATTTCAGGGGTTTTAACATCTTAGCCTGCTGTTATAGGTAAAGTTTGCTGGTCAACTTTATAACTAACCAGCTCGTTTGATTTTCACCGGGATTCGAGATGCTCCATTTGCTGAGGCTGGAGGAAGACGAGGAAGAGGAGGCAGCCTCAATGGCAGATATGGGTTCAGTGAAATGGAGGTGAGTTCAATGGGAATGTGGGGGTCCATGGTGCTCAGTCTGTCCACAGATCCAACCAAAGCTTTGAGGCGTGGCTTTCCAGCTCGGCCCAGAGTTTCAGTCATCTCACAGGCCAGCTCATCCAGGGCCTTGTTGGGGCCACTTTTCTGTTTCCCATTTATAGGAGGAAAGTAGCAGGTTTTCCTGATGCTCGCTCGTCTCCAGGGGGACTCGGATGACTTTGGCCGGAAGGCCAGGAGTGAGGGAGAGGGTTTCCGCCGGATGGAGCGGCCCAGTCTCTTCAGAACAGCGCTGTTCCTGGTCGTCACAGAGTCGCACAGCCTTTCTATGCGCTCAATGAGGGCAACGCTGTCGGCATGCCGAACTCTCTCCATCGCCAGCATCCGGGAGTTGTAGCTGCAGCCGTCTGCGGTCTGCGAAACAAATTTTTACAGATCCAGCTCACAACAATCACTTGCAACAATTAGTACTACTCAATTTAAATAATTCATAACACCATAAATAACTGAACTAGTTAAATGCAATTCTACATTTAACAAAAATGTCTTAATTTGAAAAAGCTATTAAAATTGTAAATTCTTGTAAACTAGGCAGCATTTACACTTTGGTTTTAAGCTTTCAAATTACATCAGCCATCTAAATAAAATATTTATATCTAAATAAAACAAACAACAAAGTTTCAAATGGAGTGGAAATTTGTTACTTACATTACTGTGAATGCCACGCCTCTCGTTTCCATGCCACTGCATGAAGGAGTTTGTTCTCTTGGGAGAAGCCATGAAGATAGCAAAATCTTGACCAGATCGATTGGGATAATCGCAGGGAGGAAAAAAGTGCAGTTTCTCTCAAAGGTTCAGAGTTTGTCTGACGGTAAAAAGGAATTCTGCAGCTTGGGTTTTGATTTGTGACATGTCGTCAGAATGTTACACTGCCTTCAACATTCTGGTGACGCCATGGAGACGTGCAATTGAAATGTTTGCTCAGAGTTTGGTTTTACATTTCAAATATTTTTCATGAATTGTACATGAATGTTTGTGGGACAAACTAAATGTTTTATAAGAAAGAAAAATTGCAATACTAAATCCAGAAGTTTGAACTTCAATAACTGGCTGCAGAAACACTTTGTATCTTAAATAGATAATATAGGTGCATCACAAGTATGGAGTCAGATGGTAGACTCTCAGGATTTATTTAAATCAAATCAAGGGTTATGTTCGCAGAAATTAGAGGTGTGCCGATCGATCGGC